AAGGAAAGAGAAGAGATACATTGTTTCAAAAACTCCAGCCTCTGACCTCCAAGTGGCAGTGTTGCTACTTTTCACTTTCTAATATTTATCTCTGGTTTATAGGAAACAAAGTTCTTTAAGTTTTTTTTTAATGAAATTTAATAACAAGTAATAGGAATAATTGTTAAAATAAAAAGGAAGGGTTTAATCCAGAAGTAAAAAAAAAAGCAACAAAAAGCAGAAGAAGAAAAAAATCAATCCATTCACTTTAAGAGGAGAAATGAGAAATGTTGCGAGCACTTCAATCCACAAAGTATAGTTACAAAGAAAAAAAAAGCTTCCTAAAGCAATCCAATATAAGTTAATTTTGCCGCTAAATTATTTTGCTTAAGGATCTAATTTGGCTTAAAAAAAAATACTTTGGGCATTCTTTCCCAAAATAGAAAAAATACCTCACCAGATGGGCTCATTTTCTCTTTTCACTTCCTTCCTTCCGGAGCCATGCCGACTTCATCAGTCTGGGCTGCCTATTTGCCGCCAGTTTGAAGCGCTTCGTGATGTCCCTGAGACCAGCAAAGTTTTGATTTCCTGATCACTGTCTCTGTGAGATGGTTTAGGTCTCAATGGACTGTCCAGTGGCAAAAGTACCAACGGCAGTCTCGGAGTGTCGAGATCGCAGATTGTGACATTGTGATGTTGGCTCCTCCCTTCCCTGCAGTCTACTTCTGCTGATTGCTGGCTGCCAACAATTTGGCAGTTTGAGCCTCACTGGCTCAAGTTTGACTCAGTCTTCCATCCTTCTGAGGTTGGTAAAATGAGGATCCAGATTGTTGGAGACAATCTGCTGACTCTGTAAACTGCTTAGAGAGGGTTGTAAAGCACTGTGAAGAGGTATAGAAATCTAAGTGCTATTGCTATTTTTGCAAATGGAAATGAAGTATAATACCTTGTGGAATTTAAGAGTCCTTTTCAAGATCCCCTCTGTTTGGATCAACCTTATTTAAATCTACCATGTGTCCCCGAAAATATGACATGTCCTGATAATAAGCCCCTTGGAAAACATCCCCTCTGACCAGGCAGAGTGCCATTCACCAAACTACTGGTATCCTGAAGGCAGCAAGCTGCAGGAGCTGGGGAAACAGATGCTCACATGGGATACCACTAGGTTGGTGAATGGCACTCTGCCCGACTGGAGAGTGCCTGTTCTCCCCGGCTCACATGGTTTGCTATCTTCGAGATACCTCTAGGTTGGTGAGAGACCCTCTGCCAAATCAGAGGGGGGGGGGTTGCTGGGCAGCTGCTCATACGTATGGTCATGGCTGCTGTGTTGTGTTGCTGTGACAACACAACAGAGCTGTTTGCCCCTGAGGCTGTGCCTGTATCTTCCCATCCCCACACCAGGCTCTTCAGGAGTCTACATGCAAGAGAGCAGCCACCCAAAAACCCCAAATAAGTTGTGTCTTATCATTTTATTTTGTTCACATATTGTTTGTTTTTGTATTGCACCCCCTTNTCTCTGTGTGTGTGTGTGTGTGTGTTTACAAAAAATCATGTTAATAGATATTATCTGAGACTTTGGTTTCTTCATAAATTCAAAATGGAGAGATTTCAGGAAGTTGAAGTGCAAGGAATTATACAGGACAACCCACAGTATTTATTTTGGCTGTATTTGTCTTTTCCTTTACAGGTGTTCACTGATTTGCTTTCACTGTATTCCATAGGCATTTTCTCCATCTTCATTGTTCCTTTCCAACTCCCAAAGATCTCTCTTTTTGGTCCTACTGTATATGCTTTTGAATTTCAAAATATTTGGTTTATATTTTTGCTTTGGCCAATTTCCAAAGCTTTAAAAGTAGCCAAGTAAGGCTAAATATAGACATCTGGTGTTGCAAATTAGAGGAAAATATTTTTTTGGATGTTGTAGAAGAATTTTTTTTTTTGTGTGAAATATCTGAAAGAACATATTTTACAATGACAATTATGATAGGATTTTTAAAAAATCATCACACACCAAAAGTGTCCATTCTTGGAATTAATTTAATATATACCTGATATAGAACTGAAGAAGAAAGAAAAGGAAAACAATAAGAATATTATGATTACTAATGATGAACATAATAAATATAGCGGAACTTTTATGACTTTTCCAGTAACAATCAGTTTTTAACAGCCACAATAATACTGTTAGTTTGCTTAGAGTTGGTTGAAAGCTTATTTTAAGAAAGCCATTAATTCAGTTTTTCAATCATTTTGTCATTAATTCTGTACAAAGTTTATAGTGTGAAAAGTTAAAAAAAGACATACAAAATTGCAAACAGTGTGATATTTTAAATGAGCAATTACCTTGAATCTTAGAAATGTTTTGCATCTTATGTCAACCTATGCAACCTTCCTGCTAAGACTGTGAGTCCAATCTGGAGCAAGATAATAAAAAGAGAAGTAAACTAATTCTTCATTTCTTGTTGAATTCATGAAATTAATTCTATTTTAGAATAAATATTCCCCAAACAAAAATATGTAGTGTTTAAATGAGCCAAAGAATCATTTTGCTTCCCCATCCTTATTTACC